TTTCGCTTCTCTATTCTAATTTCCAGCGTAACGTTTCAGTCTGGGATGCATGGGAAATTCTAATCTAACTTTGAATTATGTGGAGGTGTTGACTTGAATAAGGGTTCATCCCGACCAAGGGACTATCAGGACCATCAATGATTCAAGGTATAATGTTAGATACAGGTCATCTCAGATGAAGCATAGATGTTCGATGAAATTCTTGTGAGAAAAAAATCGGGCTAGAAATGCAGAGTTGACAAATACTACTAAGATGAACTATGTATCATTGTTGAAAGTCACCAACAAAGCTAGAATTATTTTTTTAAATGGCATATAATAATTTCTCCATTTAATCATTGTGGTTAAAGATTTTCCAACAGATGATAAAAAATAATGAAATCCCAAATAACGCATTCACCTCTCAGTCTCTTTCACTCACATGCACTCTCGTTTGGTTTTTGTTCTTCAATTTTTCGTCATGTAAAATTGTAAACCCAAGCAGTGCTCTGTCTTTCTTTTTATTTACAAAGAAAAAATGGAGTAAGAATTGCTGGAACGCAACACCGATTGCATTTATTTCTTATCCTCTCCCATCACTTGCAAGAAGATATTTATTCTCTCTTTTGGTCTATCCGGAAGTAAGCTTTTCCTCTTTCACACTTCCCCATTTTTAGCTCGCATTGTGTGTTTTTTGTTGAAATTTTTATGTTTCTGGAACTGCCTGTCAATGATCTGAATATTCAGTGTTAGTTTAGAACCAAAACCATCTAATTTTATTTCTTTCTTCTTAATCAAAACTTTTAGTACTCCTTATGAAAGATATTCAATCCATCATAATAGAAGTGAAATAGAGTCATAGGCTAAATTGTTTTGATCTTCTTGTTTGGTTTTTCTTTAAATCATGGAATTGGTTGTGAGTATCAACACAGTGAAATCGCCAAGCTCAATCCGAGTGACTGCTAATACTAATTTACTGAGAATTGTATTGATTCGACATGTGGTTTTCGGCATCCTGTGAGCTCGTATTCTTTTTAATAAGTTCATATTGATTATGGGACTGATATATCATGAACGAATTGGATTTTTTACATGTTTTGGAAATTTTACAGTTGAATTGTATTGAATTATAGTTTTAGTAGACAATTTGCACGCACGCAACTCGAAAAACATCATGATAGGGTAGTATATTTGGAGCAGCTACTTGACCATGTCATGGTGCCTTTCAAGTTGCGAAAGAGACTGAAAGGTGAATGTGCTGTTTGAGATTTCATTATATTTGATGAATAAATTATTATATGTCATTTATACAAAAATAATTTCAGTTTTGTTGGTGACTTTCAACAATGATTCTTAGTTTATCTTAGTAGTATTTGTCAACTCTGCATTTCTAATCCCATTTTTTTCTCACATGCATTTCATCGAACATATATGCTTTACCTGAGATGACCTGTATCTAACATTACACCTTGAATCGTTGATGGTCCCGATAGTCCATTGGTCAAGTCTTCTCTCAATGGACCCTTATTCAAGTTAACACCTCCACATAATTCAAAGTTAGATTAGAATTTCTCATGCATCCCAGACTGAAACGTTACGCTGGAAATTAGAATAGAGAAGTGAAAAAGGAAAATTGAAATCGAAAAGGAATTTGGGGTTTAGAATAAAATTGATGACTGTGTTGCAAGTTTTAAAAGTTGGGGACCTAAATGCAAGCGCCTGAAAAGTTCAGTGACCATATTGCAAACGTACTAACGGAAGTGTAACGGCGTTAAACGACTGGTTATGTCAGGGATCATATTGCAAATGGACTAAATGTTGGGGGACTGTATTGCAAACAAACTAAATATTGGGTGACTGTATTATAAGTTTTAAAAGTTTGGGGCCTAAATGAAAGCTTTAGAAAAGTTTAATGACCATTACTATACTTTACCCTAAAAATTAATAGGTTACTTTTTGAATTCAACAAAAACAAAACTATTTTAAATAACATAGGGTAAACTACCTATTTGGTCACTCACCTATTACTTAGTTTTTATTTCGGTCACCCAACTATTTTTTTCAAAATCATACATAACGTTATATTTTGGTTCTATTTTGGTCACTTACCGTTAATTTGTTGATTCCGGCGATTCAAGTAACGATTCCTCTAGTTTTGCGTTGGACTTCGGTTAAATGGAGTGTATGATAGTAAAGAGCAATGATTAGGACAACATCACCAACAACTAACGTGGATAAAATAGTTTGGACTTAGAGTTTTGAGGGTTATTTTGAAATTTAAGAAAATTGTGTTTTTTTAAATAAATTTTTATTTAGATTTTTATTTAAAAATAAAATTTTTAAAATTTTATAAACCTCACATGTGTCACTTAACGGACGTCACAATTTAGATTCTTAAATATATCACCTGAAAATCTTAAACATTTATTTTTAATAAAAAAATTATTTTATCACTTAAAAATTAATTTAAATTAAGGTATAGTTTGATAATTATTTTTTTCGTTAAGCTAAAAAGAAAGAGCTATTTAGAAAAACAACCAAGCCATATTTGTTAACGAGAGATTCCAATCTGCCGTTATTCACTGTTGACTTTTCCCTGGACATAAGTGCAAGTTTCGAGTAAATAAAATAAATAATTTTTAGTAAGGTTTGGACCTTTATTCGTTTCAAGGACTTAGATGGTGGTTAACGACGTTAAAAGGCCGTGAGCACGTGAGAGCTGTCAAGTGTCAAATCAACCCTCCGATCTCAATGTTTTCTCTCTCTTTTTATGGCAAATTGCATGATAAATTTGGTTTAGATAATATGACGAAGAAAATATGTTTTTTGAATTAATTACAGATATATCTTAATGTTTTTTGAATTGTTATCTAAAAATTATTATTTCTATCAAATTATCTATAACATTTTTAATCAAATTATACATTTGAAATATTTATTTAAAAAATTAAAATATATATTTAAAGTACATTATTTTTAATTATTAAAAAATATTTTCAATCTGTATTATGTGTTAATCTTTAAATATTTAAATTTAAAAAAATAAAAATATATTTAATATCTATTTTTTAATATAGAAATGAACTAATAATTATTAAATAATTAATTAAAATATAATTATTAAAAAATCATTACATAAATTTAACATGTGAGTTATGTAAATGTAAAAAAAAAATTGATAAGAAATTTTATAACACAAAAATATTTTAGTTTATAATAAGAATATAATACTAATGTATATTGGTATATTGGACATCAATTAAAATAAAATAATTAAAAAAATATTGTTGAAAGCAATAGAATAAAAAAGTGTCATTAAAATAAAAAAAAAACACGTTTAGTGGTGTTTAAGACTCTTAGACTTTTTTAAAAAAAATAATGTAACCATCGTTAAACTTTTCTTTTCACTCAATGTGATCCTTAAATTGAGAAAAAAATCAATATGATATTTTGACCAATAGAATTGAACGTCGACCATCAAGACGTTTACATGAAAGTTCACGAAACTTACATGACAATCTACAACATTGATATGACAATTTACGATGTTGTTGTGGCAGTGCATGATGGATGATGATGCGATAGATGGACTTAATTGATTTTTTTTAACTAATTTCGGGGGACTAATTGATTTTTAGAAAGTTTAATGACTTATTTAATTTTTTAAAAAATAAGAAATTATTTAAATTTAAGTTATAAAATATAAGTAATTATTAAGATATTCAATACATTAAATATAAAAATACTATAAAATTAAATTATTGAAAAATTCATTTTAAGGACCACATTGAGTGTATAGAATTTCAAGGGCCACATTGATTATTTTGTAGAAATTTGAGGTTTTAAGATACCATTAAGTCAAAAGATTATTGTTATAAGCATTTGAATTTGTAAGTTAAGTTAAAAATCTAGATAATGTGTTTTTTTCCACTTAGTTTTTGTTTTCATTTTCTAATTTTACAACTGATCTTCAATATTTTTTTGTTTTCTAAGAAAACGAAAATAACCTATTTTTTTTTAACTAAACGGACTCTTTGATTCAAATCTTCAGAAAAAGTTTTTTTTAGAAAAAACACTATTTTTAAATGAAATAAAAATAAAACTCGAAATTTCATTATGTAAAATAGAATTATTTAGCTTTTATGCGTGGAATAATCTGAAACTTGTACTTGGTACAGAAATGGGTAAATATGAGCATCCTATTTGAGTCTGTATTCATGGGATCCTCTCTAGTAGATCACCTATTTTATGTTTTTGGATCCCAAGGATTTGTTGTCCAATAATAATGAGAGATATGACCGTTTTTCAGTATGAATTAGCCAATTCAACATCCTTGAACCACTAGTAAAGACCATCTACCATAGATGTTGCAAAGCCAATGACTACATCTCAAGATTTCACAAACTCTTTATAAATGAAAAACGTTATTTTAGTCATTATTATTTTTTGAATGTAATGTTTCATTTTAGGATAAAAAATTATTTATAAACGAAAATCGTTAGTTAACAAACGATTAATGTTTCAAAGTAAAAAAAATCATTAAGATAAAAATTGAGGGCTAAATATTCTAGAAAAATAATAAAAATTAAAATAATTATTTAATCATCGTCATAAACCTGTTTGATTTATGAAACATTAGAAGTCAAACTAATTTTAAAAAAATAAAGTAAATGATTATTTTGATATAGTGGGGTTAATTTTAACATGATACCAAATAAAAATTGGGAAATTGTTTGATAGAAAATAAAATTAAGGCGGAAGTGTGTGTAGCAAAAGGGTTCATACGTTGATATAAATGGTTAGGTCGTACCGTCGGTGAGTGCAACGTGGGGTGGCGATTTCAAACACACCCAATGCATTGACTTCTTACCCTACCTTTACACCCAATTTTTATTATATGATTTTACCAACATCTATACAAAATAATTATATCTTATTACAAATTAACCTTTGTAAATAAGGCAGCTCCGTTTAGTCTGCATATGCATATAAATAGAATTGTTTTTTCTGCGTATCTTTGTATTGAGAGAGATAAGGCTTTTGGCACCCAGCAATCAGTGAAGGCTTTAGATTGATTGCAGTGATCTTTTTGTGGGGGAAGATTTCGAAACAGAAGCAAACAATATAGATAAAGTCTCAGGCTGAAAAGAAAATATAAAGCCAAAGCAGTGATCTTTTGGGGCATTTCTTCTTCATCTAATCCATTTATTTTGTTTCCCTATTTTCTCAGAAATTCTAGTTCTGTGCTCAATCCGTTTCTTCTCCCTCACAATCAATTAGATTCTTCCACATGAACTAAAGTCCTCCCAACTGAAGACAAAAGATTCAACTCGACTGAAAACAGAGACAGTTTTAAAAGAATGGTGACCGGTTGGAGAAGAGCTTTTTGCACTTCCATTCCCAAGAAGCAAGACAGCGCAGTTTTACCAGAAAAGCAACAACAACAGCAAAACATTAGCACCAAAAGTCCAAGATTTTCCTCAAAGTTTGGGTTTTTCTCCAACCCATCAACCCCAAGGCTACAATCTCAACCGGTTTCAAGACCAAGTCTTCGTTGCCGAACTGCTTCCTCTTCCACCCCAACTTCTTCTCTTCCCAATAGCCCCAAACTCCGCAGTACATCTCATTTCTCCAGCCCTTCCTCCCCTAAATCCCCTTCCAGTTTCTCCTTCCTTAAATCGACTCTCTGCCTCTCCAAAGTAAGCTTTTTTCTTGTTATCTTTGTCTTAACTCTTTATCTTTATGCAAATTTTTGTCCTTTTCAATAATAATCTTTTGTTATATTGTTTTTCTTCCAGGGTGGCCGGTGTGGAATCTGTTTAGAAAGCGTGAAAACGGGCCAGGGAACAGCGATTTTCACGGCGGAGTGTTCACATTCCTTCCATTTCCATTGCGTCGCTGCCCATATCAGGAAGCAACAATTACTAATTTGCCCCGTCTGTTCCACCACCTGGAAAGAGTTGCCTTTACTCTCCCTTCAACACCCCGAACAACCCCATAAAGCATCTTTCAGCAACATCAAAACGAAGTCTTTTCGGGTCTATAACGATGATGAACCGTTGGCCTCACCTGTTTCTCTTTCCCAGTTTAACCCCATCCCTGAATCCGAGGAAACCGAAAACGACGACGAAGAGGAGGAATTCCAAGGATTTTTTGTTACACCGAGGAGTAATGAGAGAAACGTGGAGGTTAGGTTGTCGCAGGAGGCGGCGATGGTGGCGGTTGGGAGGAGTTACGAAAGTTACGTGGTGGTTTTGAAAGTGAGCGCGCCAGCAGTAACGCGTGGGTTGAAGAGGGCTGCGATTGACTTGGTTACGGTGTTGGATGTTAGCGGTGGTGCGATACGGTTGCAGATGCTGAAACGCGTGATGCGGTCGATCATATCTTTGCTTAACGAAAAGGACCGATTGTCGATCGTGATTTTCTCGTCGATTTCAAAACGGTTGTTGCCGTTGAAAAGGATGAGTTCCGGCGGAAGGAGATCTGCAAGAAGGATCGTCGAAGCGCTGGGAAGCAACGGTCAAGGGATGAGTGTCAACGACGCACTGAAAAAGGCGGTCAAAATATTGGAGGATCGTAGAGAGAAAAACGCAGTTTCCAGTATCATGATCTTATCCGACAGTCATGATAAACAGTCACAGTCCAATCCAACCAATCAGAACCTTCCAGCTGTTTCCACCACGCGCCTGAGCAATTCAGAAATCCCCGTGCACTCATTCGGCTTCGGATCGTGCACTCACGCTCCAAACGAGGATGCTTTTTGTAAAATCGTGAACCGTCTGTTAAGCGTGGTGGTTCAAGATGTGAGTCTTCAACTGGGATTCGAATCTGGGTCAGCTCCAGCCGAGATATCATCGGTCTATTCATTGACGGCCCGACCGGCTGCACTCGGGTCTAGTTCGGTACGGGTTGGGGATTTGCATTCGGGCGAGGAGAGAGAACTATTGGTGGAACTGAAAGTACCCGTATCTTCTCGCGGGTCCCATAGAGTGATGTCCGTACGATCGTCTTGTGCAGATCCATTCACTCGGGAGATGGTCTACTCGAGGGATCAAAGCTTGGTTTTACCTCGGCTGCCGCGGTCCGTTCGATCTTCGTCTCCGAGCGTCGCACGGTTGAGGAACCTCCACGTGAGCACGCGCGCTGTGGCGGAGTCTCGGGCATTGATCGAACACAACGATTTATCGGGGGCTCAGCATTTGCTTACCTCGGCTCGAGCTTTGTTAATGCAATCGGGTTCGAGTTCGGCTGAGGAATTTATTGGGGGATTGGAGTCTGAGTTAGCCGAGTTGAGCCGGCGGCGACAGAAACAACGGGTACATAATAGTGGTAATGTTAATAACGGGAGAGTGGAGGAAAAGGTTGAGCCGTTAACGCCGACGTCGGCTTGGAGAGCCGCGGAGAGATTGGCAAAAGTGGCGATCATGAGGAAGCATATGAATAGAGTTAGCGATTTGCATGGGTTTGAAAATGCCAGATTTTAATTTTTCTATTTTGTAACACAAAACAATGTGTAGCATGAAATTACATAAAAGACTAATAAAACCAAAAATAGTGTTTTTTTAATGATTTAATGCCATGTCGGTAATCGCATTTTCCTTTAATTATTTTTTAGAATTATTAAATGAAGACAAATTGAATAAAGACAAGGCGTACCGGACGGCTACGCGCTTTCCGAAGAGGACAGCAAGTCAGGTGATGGAGATGCTGAACTGAACCCTCCCCTATCTCTGTCTTTTGGTTTTATTCTCCATTTCCTTTTATTTTAAAGAATTTTGTTTATTTTTTTATCCATTACTTTTCTTATATTCACTTTGGTCATTAACAATCCATGTATTACTCAAAATCTAGAAAATACGTGACTAATGAAGTGTCTTCCAAGATCTTTCCACATCAGTTAGTCATATTTATTTTTTGGAATTTGGATGTCACGAATGCAAAAACGCATGCAATAAATTAAGCACTTCTTTATAAGGTTTAATCTTCATTAGGGATGGACTGAAGGGAACGGGTAGAGACGGTCAGTCCTCCCTTAAAAATTTAAAATTATATATATTGTAGATTTTATATATTTTTATTAAAAATCTATTTATATGTTGAAATTTTATAAATTTATATCCTCTTAAAATTTTAGAGATTTACTTTCTAATATAAAATTATATGCCCATCCATTATCTTCCCATATACAAAATTTCAAAAAGTGTCACTCTAATTAATAATCGAAGATATGTTTTATTTTAATATTTATTATTGAAAACAATATATTTAGGTAAATTAACCCTAGCAAAATGAAAACATTTCTTTGTTTTGTAATCACGAATCAAACTACCTTAGTGATGAAGGAATTATCGTTATTCCTTAAAGTTTTAGGTTTAAGTACCATAAATGTTAGGGGTGTGAGCATACTCTATCAAATGGTTGAGAGTTATCTTTGAACGTATAATATCTTGTACTAACCCATATTAATTAAAAAAAAAAAAAAAAGAATGATTTTAGCAATTAGCATGATATAAAATAACTAAAACAATATGATACACAAAAAATAGTGCAATTATAAATTATTTACAAACTTCATATTAATGTAAAATAATTTTTTCTGGTTGCCCTTCTAGTTTTATAGGACTTTACCTTTACTAATTTAGATCGACCTGTATCGTACACTTGATTTTAAATATAAAATTTTTATTATACTTATGAGTGTATAATAAAATATAGCGCAAATTACCCATTTGACCATCAAACTATTATTTTTTTTTGTCATTCAACTATTTTTTTCAAAAAAAATCCTACCTACCTAACTTTATCTTTTTGTTCTGTTTTGGTCACCTGATATTAAAAAATTAACAGTTATGCTAACGTGTCACCATAAGACAATTCCATGTCAACATTGAAAAATAATATCACAATTAATTTTTAATGATGGATAAATAAAAGAAAATCAAAATAAAACATTAAATATAGTTTTTAAAAAATAATAATCACATGAAATAGTACATAAATTAAATAAGGCAGTATATATCGACAAAATATGGGTACACGAAATTTCAAAACCCAGAAGAGTGATTGTTCGGGTGGTGAGTCAAATCAAGATGAAGTTTAAAGATTTGTAACGTAGCAGAAAAGATAAGATGGGGTAAAGGGTTCTTTTCTTTATAATGTTTCCAGCTCTGCATGTCATTTTTCTCTTGACGACGAGAAAATGCCAAATAGACTTTTGGATCAATAAATTAAATTTGATTTTATATGTTTTTTTTTGTATGAAAAGTATTTTTAATTAGTTTTAGTAAATATAAGATAATATTTATTTAAAAAAATTAATTATTTAATATTAAATATTCATACACTCCTATGATGTTTAAACGTGAGACCTAAGTGTCTTGAATATATGTTTAGATAAGAAGAATATTATTTTAGAATTACTTGTACCACTATATCCTTAAGTTATGATTTTTATTTTAAATTAAGCTATAAACTTTTAATGTCACATCACATTCTCTAAATCCAACATTAACTATAGTTTATATCTTATTGTTATTACATAATACACATTCGTATTTACATGACAATTAACTAATTTTTAATTGTTTTATTAACATGAGACATGTATTAGCATATGTCGATAGTTACAACAATAGAACGGCAAGAGATATCATAATAGCTAGGGAAAATGCTAAGATAAGAGTTACGAAAGAACCCAAATGGGTAAAATGGAGACGGCCGCCGAGAGGGAACTAGATACTCAACACGGACGGGGCATGTAAGACAAACCCGGTGCTACTTCGGCTGGAGATCTGATCAAAGACAAGGAAGGGAGCTGGGTCCATGGCTTCATGACTAACATTGGAAAAGCTACTACTGCTATGATAGCAATCTGGGGAATCAGACAAGGAATGCTTTTCGCAAAATCGCTGGGGGTGAGGAACCTAATAGTAGAAGCCGATGCAAAATAGGTCATCGAAAAGCTGAACAGGGAATGGTTCACACGACCTGCAAAAAGAAGTAATTTTCAAACATTGTGAAGAAATCAAAAAGGAATGATGGATAACTGAAATCAGACATACCTGGAGAGAAGGAAATCATTGTGCGGATAGATTGAAGAAGCTGGCACTCGAAAGAGACGAAGGGACGCATCTTCTAGAAGATCCTCCTAAGGAGCTTATTCCTCTCCTGCAAGGGACACCAACGACGTTGACTTTCTGAGATGGTAGACCACAAACATAGTCGTTTCGAATGTACCAAAAATAATATATGGATAGTTACAGGATAAAACTGGAATGTTCATTAGTTTAGATACCAATTTAGAATGAGAGCCATACTCTGGAGCTGATATCAGAATATTTAAAACTTTATAAACTAGTTTTAAATAAAAAACATAATTCAAGGATGTGTGATGCAATTAACTCTTTTTTTCATCTCTCCCTTTATGCTACTTCATCTTTTATTTATGGACATTGTCAAGTGATCTGCAAAAGATAAAGATATAGAAAAATCATTATATTTGCACAAATAAAATAATACAATTATGAATCTATCAAATGAATTAAATAGTAAAAGGGTGTTAATCTCTCTAGATGTATTGGGTTCGAACAACGACGTTTGTAGGATGTGTATGCATTATCAATAAATTAAGAAAATTCTAAACACATAATACCTTATGATCACTCTAACTATTAAAAAAAGTACAATTCTATTTAATCGGGAAACAACCTTTACATTTGTGAATAAAACAATACAAATCAGATGAATAATTTGAGCATTAAAGAAGTTAAAGTAGAGAAATAATTGTGTTTGATTGTGGTTTTCTTTTCAATTAAATGTTAAAAGGGAGCAATCCATAGGAATTTTGGGGATTGATGTGTGTGTACAATGGATGCAAAAAAGCAAAAGGATGGAAATTTTACCCCTTTTTGTGAGATGTGCAGCTCTTGTGACCCGCACTACATAGATTTGCTCTCTTAGTGCCCAAACAAAAGGCCCCCTTCATCCATTTTAGACTAATCACTGCCCAAAATATTCCAAGTGCTTGCAGTGGTACTAAACAGAATGTTAATCTACTTAAACCTGGTGGACCAATTCATAAATTAATTACTCTATTTTATTAACAGATATCCTTTTCATGACACAATGATTGAATTATTCAAATACTTGTATATTTAAGCACATTCTAATACATATCCTGATGTATGTAATAATAATTACATCCTCATGTATGTTCTAATAATTATTAGTAGAAACAAATTTATCTCGTCGATTGTTGATAGTTCATTCCTTCTAATTTGATCAAAAAATTACGATTGATGAAGATGTGACTATTGACTGATGTTTCTCAATGATATAAATAAAGGTATAATGAGAGATATACGAGTAAAGGAGAAATAGATCCTTCTCTCAAATGTAGTTGAGGAGTATATATAATGACTTTAACAGTAGTGCCAGACATAGATAGGGTCATTATAACTACTCGTAGGTTGATCGGATTAATAGATATGGTGATCAATTCTGAATTTCGCCCTGATAGATCACGTAGTCTATCATTGATCTTGTCTATATACAATAACTATACGAGAGTGTATGAGTTTCCTAATGGCTTTGGTAAGAGAAAATAGTTCATTTCCGAAAATATTTAACTGACAACCGATAGTTTTTGAATGCCATCTTCGAAGATATAACAATAATAATATTAATAAATTATTATATTTAATACAATACTATTTTCATAAATAATATACTAGTTAAATATCTTGAAAATACTCATGAATAATAATAATAAAATATATTATACTTCAAACAAAAGAAAAGAAAGTTTTTACCTATTTTTTATAAGTTAATCATTAATATTCGATCTATTAATCTAATTTAAATTTTACATTAATTTATTATAGAGGCGACCGTTTAATCTGATTTACTTCATTCACATACGCTTGATTTATTAAAAGAAATTAGGACAAAACATAAAATGGAAGTGAAGAAGGGATTAAAAGGAAGGAAAAGGTGGATGCAGTGGAATTGATGTGGATTAGTAGTAGAGAAATTGTGGGTGGCCAATCCATAATTACCTACAAACCAAATAATAATTCTTTTTAATTCTTTTAAGTAAAGGAATAATAATTGGGGGAAAAGGGCAGTCTCGTAGCTGTCATTAATAATAAACAAATAAAGACAAACGGCTCTCCTCCTCATCACCTCCAACCAAGCCGTTTTTCTTCAACACCATTATTAAATCAATCAATTAAAGTCCAATTTTTAGTTGTAAAATTAAAAAAAAAACAATCCCTTTTTAATAATGACACTGAATTAATGTTACGAGAGGAGTAAATTGATAATGTTTAAATCTAAATATTTTAAATTTGCATCAGTATTACTTATTTATGAATAATTTGAAACTTCATTTTTAATTACAAAGCATGTATTTATCGATAGATTAGAAGTTCGGATACGGTAATTAAAATGATTAATTTTAGTACTTTTGAAATATATATATATATCACATAATTGTTGTAGTTGGTAGAAATATTGAGTTTTTAAATCATTT